GCCCGGGGAAGGTCCCTGGAGCCTGGCCCCCTCCCTGCTGCCCGGGGAAGGTCCCTGGAGCCTGGCCCCCTCCCTGCTGCCCGGGGAAGGTCCCTGGAGCCTGGGCACCTCTCTGCTGCCCGGGGAAGGTCCCTGGAGCCTGGCCTCCTCCGTGCTGCTCGGGGAAGGTCCCTGGAGCCTGGGCACCTCCCTGCTGCCCGGGGAAGGTCCCTGGAGCCTGGGCACCTCACTGCTGCCCGGGGAAGGTCCCTGGAGCCTGGGCACCTCACTGCTGCCCTGGGGAGGTCCCTGGAGCCTGGCCCCCTCCCTGCTGCCCGGGGGAGGTCCCTGGAGCCTGGCCCCCTCCCTGCTGCCCGGGGAAGGTCCCTGGAGCCTGGGCACCTCACTGCTGCCCGGGGGAGGTCCCTGGAGCCTAGGCACCTCACTGCTGCCCGGGGAAGGTCCCTGGAGCCTGGCCCCCTCCCTGCTGCCCGGGGAAGGTCCCTGGAGCCTGGGCACCTCACTGCTGCCCGGGGGAGGTCCCTGGAGCCTGGCCCCCTCCCTGCTGCCCGGGGAAGGTCCCTGGAGCCTGGCCCCCTCCGTGCTGCTCGGGGAAGGTCCCTGGAGCCTGGGCACCTCACTGCTGCCCGGGGAAGGTCCCTGGAGCCTGGCCCCCTCCCTGCTGCCCGGGGAAGGTCCCTGGAGCCTGGGCACCTCACTGCTGCCCGGGGAAGGTCCCTGGAGCCTGGGCACCTCACTGCTGCCCGGGGGAGGTCCCTGGAGCCTAGGCACCTCACTGCTGCCCGGGGAAGGTCCCTGGAGCCTGGGCACCTCACTGCTGCCCGGGGAAGGTCCCTGGAGCCTGGGCACCTCACTGCTGCCCGGGGGAGGTCCCTGGAGCCTGGCCCCCTCCCTGCTGCCCGGGGAAGGTCCCTGGAGCCTGGGCACCTCCCTGCTGCCCGGGGAAGGTCCCTGGAGCCTGGGCACCTCACTGCTGCCCGGGGGAGGTCCCTGGAGCCTGGCCCCCTCCCTGCTGCCCGGGGAAGGTCCCTGGAGCCTGGCCCCCTCCCTGCTGCCCGGGGGAGGTCCTTGGAGCCTGGGCACCTCTCTGCTGCCGGGGGGAGGTCCCTGGAGCCTGGCCCCCTCCCTGCTGCCCGGGGGAGGTCCCTGGAGCCTGGGCACCTCTCTGCTGCCGGGGGGAGGTCCCTGGAGCCTGGGCACCTCTCTGCTGCCCGGGGGAGGTCCCTGGAGCCTGGCCTCCTCCGTGCTGCTCGGGGAAGGTCCCTGGAGCCTGGGCACCTCACTGCTGCCCGGGGAAGGTCCCTGGAGCCTGGGCACCTCACTGCTGCCCGGGGAAGGTCCCTGGAGCCTGGCCCCCTCCCTGCTGCCCGGGGAAGGTCCCTGGAGCCTGGCCCCCTCCCTGCTGCCCGGGGAAGGTCCCTGGAGCCTGGGCACCTCTCTGCTGCCCGGGGAAGGTCCCTGGAGCCTGGCCTCCTCCGTGCTGCTCGGGGAAGGTCCCTGGAGCCTGGGCACCTCCCTGCTGCCCGGGGAAGGTCCCTGGAGCCTGGGCACCTCACTGCTGCCCGGGGAAGGTCCCTGGAGCCTGGGCACCTCACTGCTGCCCTGGGGAGGTCCCTGGAGCCTGGCCCCCTCCCTGCTGCCCGGGGGAGGTCCCTGGAGCCTGGCCCCCTCCCTGCTGCCCGGGGAAGGTCCCTGGAGCCTGGGCACCTCACTGCTGCCCGGGGGAGGTCCCTGGAGCCTAGGCACCTCACTGCTGCCCGGGGAAGGTCCCTGGAGCCTGGCCCCCTCCCTGCTGCCCGGGGAAGGTCCCTGGAGCCTGGGCACCTCACTGCTGCCCGGGGGAGGTCCCTGGAGCCTGGCCCCCTCCCTGCTGCCCGGGGAAGGTCCCTGGAGCCTGGCCCCCTCCGTGCTGCTCGGGGAAGGTCCCTGGAGCCTGGGCACCTCACTGCTGCCCGGGGAAGGTCCCTGGAGCCTGGCCCCCTCCCTGCTGCCCGGGGAAGGTCCCTGGAGCCTGGGCACCTCACTGCTGCCCGGGGAAGGTCCCTGGAGCCTGGGCACCTCACTGCTGCCCGGGGAAGGTCCCTGGAGCCTGGGCACCTCACTGCTGCCCGGGGAAGGTCCCTGGAGCCTGGGCACCTCACTGCTGCCCGGGGAAGGTCCCTGGAGCCTGGGCACCTCACTGCTGCCCGGGGGAGGTCCCTGGAGCCTGGCCCCCTCCCTGCTGCCCGGGGAAGGTCCCTGGAGCCTGGGCACCTCCCTGCTGCCCGGGGAAGGTCCCTGGAGCCTGGGCACCTCACTGCTGCCCGGGGGAGGTCCCTGGAGCCTGGCCCCCTCCCTGCTGCCCGGGGAAGGTCCCTGGAGCCTGGCCCCCTCCCTGCTGCCCGGGGGAGGTCCTTGGAGCCTGGGCACCTCTCTGCTGCCGGGGGGAGGTCCCTGGAGCCTGGCCCCCTCCCTGCTGCCCGGGGGAGGTCCCTGGAGCCTGGGCACCTCTCTGCTGCCGGGGGGAGGTCCCTGGAGCCTGGCCCCCTCCCTGCTGCCCGGGGGAGGTCCCTGGAGCCTGGGCACCTCTCTGCTGCCGGGGGGAGCTTCCTGGAGACTCCTCCTTCTGCTCCGAGAGGGACACCTGTTGTAAACACTGAGGGCGGGGCGGGGAAGCTGCGGGACTCCGGGCCCAGAGGGCTGCCCGCTCCCCTCCCCCGCCCGCCCTCCCTCCGGAGGGAAGTCACAACTCCCGTGGGGGCCGGCAGGGAAGGGCCCCCAGTCAGAGATGTGGAACCCTCTGGAAGCTGGGGAGGGGGACTCAGTGGGGACTTGGTCTCACACTCCAGGAGGCTACAGGAGCCTCTCCTGGCCCCGGGGGGAGAAGACGGGGGAGCCCAGCCCCTAGGAAACACCGTGGTGGGGGCAGCCTGGCTCGTGGGCTTCATGCCTCTGTGCACACAGTCACGTCTGACTTATCGGGGCCGTGGTGCTGGAGGCCCTGGGGAGCCCTCTGCCGTGTGGGCGGCCTCCGTTCTGACAGCGTGAGCGTGTCGCCTATTCGGTGTGACAGCACCACACACGATGGACTTGAAGCCCCGCACCTCCGTGCCCCCGTCTCTTTGGGTCGGGGGTCCAGCCTCAGCTCAGCCGGGTCCCATGAGGCCCCTGTCTCATCTCCAGATGCAACCTTCGGAGGAGCCGCCTCACAGACTCATGGAGCAGCCCCCGGTGGTCAGATCCTTGCCGGCTGGGTGGCTCAGGGCCCCGTTCCTCACTGGCTGGAGGCTGCTCTCGCAGCACTGCCTCGGGCTTGGCTGACGGACAGCTCACAGCACCTTCCTGCGTCCCGCAGCGGGGGTTGGCCCCCGGAGAGAGCTGCGAGCACCCCGTACCACTAACCGCCTGTTCATCCCACCCGTTCAAGTGAGGCAGACATGCCCCCCGTCCGGGAAGCAGAGCGTCCACACAAGGGCCTGGGTCCAGGGTCCTCGGGGGCAGGCTCTGTCCCCCACACCCGGAAGGAGCCCCCAGGCCTCTCGAGCCTCATCACGCTGGGTCTCCCGGGCGGAGAGAGGATCGTGCTTTGGAGCAGGCCTCCGCAGCTGGTCACCAGACCTGGCACGTGTAGGGCAGGACTTGCCCTGGCTGTGGGCCTTTGCTTTCTCCCCATCACGGCCTGGACCATGGCCGAGCGGCCAGGGGAGGAGAGCGGTCCTGGGCTCCACTGCTCCTGGGGCACAGCTGGGGTGGGGCGGCGGGGGGGCGGGCACCGGGGGCAGCTCACACACAGACCAGCTCCCGGGCACGCTGGACGCCTGGGAGGCCCACGTGGAGCTGTGGCATCCTCTCCCGACCCCCACGGGTCAACAGGCACCCCGCTGGCTCTCTCTGAGATCGTGAGGACTCAGGGCCTGGGGGTGGCAGCTCAGGGTGGGCCTGGCGTCCCCTCGATGGCCCCCTCAGCTGCCAGGATCTCTTGGACATTGAACCAGCCCACAGCTCTAGCCTCAGGCGGCCTGGGGGCCTCTGCCAGGGCAGGTGGGCTCTGAAGCCAAGGTCAGAAACCAGGAGGTGGTGAGCTGAGGCTGAGACAGGCCTCTGACCCAGCACTCCTAGCAGAAGGGCAGAAGCGAGCTGTCGGGCTAGGATTCCGGTCCCGCCTCTGCAGGGCAGGTACGGGCGAGGCCCGGGGAGGATGAGCTCCGTGGGGCTGCATCAAGCTGCACCCAGCCTGGTGTCACCCTCTGTTCCAGCTCACACCTGGGTCTTCCCGACTACCCACCGGTGCTGGTCCCACGTACCAGGACGGGGTGCCACAGTAGCGTGGCCTCCACAGGCCTGGGGCCCCCGCCTGGGCACAGCCCCACCCGCACAGGCCCCTGTCCCCCGCTTCTTGCTGAACCCGTCCTCGGGTTCCTGCGGGCCCGGGACTGCACACCCTCGAGAGCCAGAGGCCCCCACGGTAGACGCCCGGCGTCGCCTCGGCGTGGCCTCATAGACACAGGCCCCTCGCAGGTGGATCGAGGCCGAGCAGAACCTCGAGAGCCAGAGGCCCCCACGGTAGACGCCCGGCGTCGCCTCGGCGTGGCCTCATAGACACAGGCCCCTCGCAGGTGGATCGAGGCCGAGCAGAACCTCGAGAGTCAGAGGCCCCCACGGTAGACGCCCGGCGTCGCCTCGGCGTGGCCTCATAGACGCAGGCCCCTCGCAGGTGGATCGAGGCCGAGCAGAAGCGGCGCGGCCCCACAGCGGACACACAGGAGACTGGCACACGCGTGTTCTCGAGGCCCCGCTTGTGGACAGGAGTGGCGGCTCCGTGGGAGTCAGGGAGGGGCGTCCCGGAGGGCTCCCTGGAGGACGTGGTGGGGCGGTTTCAAAGGGGCTAGATTTGGAGAGCAAGCAGTCTGTGTCCGCCCTGCAACCTGACCAGGGCTGGTGCAGGTGAAGCTGCTTGGAGTCCAGGCTGGGGGCCAGGCAAGGCAAGGAGGCCCCACCCCACTGGCAGGAAGGGCCGAACCTCAGCCCTGCCAAACACAGTCCTGGCCCTGGGCCTGTCCGTCCAGGCCCACGGCGTAGTGGGAGTTCCAGTCTCGCTCGAAGAGCTGCCGCAGCTGCTCCTGCACGGTGCTCACTCGCGGCGGGGTGCCGGGGGCCCTCTGGCTGACCACCAGGCCCACACCCGAGGTGCTACTGAAGTAATCTTCTGACCAGTTGGACGTGCCTGCGGGCGGCGGGTGTGGGAGGCTGGGGCCGGGCCGCACGGGTCCCTCTGCTGCCCCGCCCAGCCCGGTGGCCCCTGTGGCCGCTGAGGAATGCAGCCAGCTCTACACCGGAGGGGCCCCACCCCTGCCCGCCTGCAAACTCGGGGCTCGGGAACTCTGTGCGGGGATTCCCCACCCGCCCTGTGGGGCCGGCTGACCACTGGGCTGGCCTCCTCCGTGGGTCCTGAGCCCTTCCGCATGCAGGCCCCCTGCCTGGGGGTCCACGCTGAGGGGGAGAGCCCAGCCCCCTTCAGCGCCGCGGCCCCCGCCTGAAGGACAGGAGCCCCGTGCAGGCTGGGGTGGCCGTGCCTGGAGCCCAGGAGGATGCGGGCCGCCGCCAGGCTCACCTATGTAGGCCGCCTTCTCCGTGACCATGAACTTGCTGTGGTTCACCCTGCTGAAGGGGATGTTGGAGTGGTTCCCCACGGGCACGATGAAGACTTTCTTGGGGGGACAGAAAGGGCGTGTCAGGGGGCGGAGAGGTCGCTGCCCCACCCAGCCCAGGGGCGCGTTCTCACCACGTCCAGGGACACGTTGGCCGCAGGGTTGCTGAGCGCCTGCAGGGACCGCAGAAAGGGGAACATCCTGGGGTCCGTGTTGAGCCAGCAGCTGACCAGTAGGCGCACGCGCACCCCCCTGCTGAAGGCCGCCACCCGCAGCGCAGTGTCCAGCACTGGCCAGTACCTGGGGGAGGTGCACGGCAGGGTCAGGGTCCTTGGGCCAGTGGGGCCCTGCCGGCCTGCCCCGAGGGGGTCCCCACAGGCGGGAAGACGGCAGCCCGGCCCCCAGCCGGCCCACCTGGCAGGGTGTCTGAAGCGCGTGGTGGGGAAGTACTCCATCACCGAGGCGTAAAGGAACTCCTGGGCGGCCCCCATGACTGCGAGCAGCGCATCCAGGTCGCGGGTGCGGCCGTGGGGGCAGAGAGCAGGCGGCGACGCCTGTGGGCCAGAGAGGTCCCTGAGAGGCCTGGTGCTGAGCTGCTTGGCTGCTGGGCCCGCGGCCCCAGCACATGCCAGCTTCCAGCCCCGGGAACCAGGGTGAAGGCAGGAGGCGCAGCCCGCAGGGCTGGGGCCCTGGGCTGGCCTGGCCCTGGAGGAAGCTCCCCGGGGGGCTTGGCCGGACCCCCACGCCTGGGGACGTGTCCCTGCCTCTGAGGCCAGGCCTCCACTGTAACCGAGCCCTGGGGTAGCTGCCCATACCCCAAGGAAGGTTCCTGGCTGGTGGCTGTGGCCGCCCGCCCCCCAGTTCCCTCCCCCCTCCGGCGGAGCGACATTGCTGATGCCCTGGTCCTCCCCCAGACCCTTCCTGGTCCTGAGTCAGACCCCAGCCAGCGATGTGCGTGGAGGCTCCAGGGCCATGGGGTGTCCCCTGCCACCCAGGCTGCCTGTCTCCCGTGGATTACGACGGCCACGTCTTCTGCTGGGGTCACCCCAGGACCACAGCCCCGGACCTTGCAGATGCTGGGGTCTGCAGGGCAGGGCTGGGGTGGGTGGGACTTCCTGTGGGCATGGCCGGCCAGAGAGCAGGGGCTCAGAAGGGCCTCCGGGCCTGTCCACCCTTACCGAGAAGTAGGCAGTGGTGGGCACCCCGTCAAAGCAATCCCGGAGCGGCTGGAAGCGGTTGATGTGGGAGGAGAAGTTCCAAGGCCAGGGCTTGGGGAGGACGGCCCTGGGTGCCCCCAGTACCCAGTAGGTCTGGAAGGTCTTCTCCAGGTCCTGGGCCAGTTGGCTGCAGTTGTAGATGACGGCCCCGAGCTCCTTCACCTGTGTGCACCCGGGTCGTGCTGCGGGACGGGCCCTCTGCGGGGCTGGGCGGACCCCCCATCCCACCCCGGCCCAGGGCTGCCGGGCAGGCACACACCCTCCTGGGCAGCCAGTCTGGAGGGTAGCCCAGCGGGTCCCTGCTTTTCTTAGACATTATGTTCCAAAGGCAATACATGTTAATTGCCCAAAAACAATAGAAAGCATCAACGCTCAAAGGAAAACAACTCGTTCTTCACTGCTAATCGACAACCGCTGCCAGCCTTTTGACTGATGGCTGAAGCGCTGCTTTTCCTGAAAGGGTTCCTGCTTTGTCCGCAGGGCCCCTTGGACCCGGTGACCTGACCATGTTTCCGGGCGGTAAGCGACCTTCTGCATCGGGAGTTCAGTGCCTTTAGAGTCCCGTAACCAGTCTCCGGGTGTTTCTACCGCGGGGGCGTTACAGACCTGGCTGTGTCCCCCAGGATGACTGCCCACAAGGGGATGTCAGGGGCGCCAGGGTGGATGAGCTCGGGAGGGCCTCCCCTCCCGGGGCACGGGGACTCACCTGTGTCAGGGACCGCCAGTCCATGTTGGCACTGCCCACATAGACGTGCTGCCCGTCCACCACCCAGAACTTGGAGTGCAGAACGCCGCCAGTGAGCCTTCCCATGGGCACACGTCGCACCTGGGCGCCTGACAAGGGAGCAGGGAGGTGGGCTGAGCCCAGTTCCTCCCTCCTCACGGATGGTGTCCTCAGCCCCACTTCACAGGTGGGAAGACGGAGGCGTCAGTCGGCCCAGGGCCCCCCCAGTCGGCCTGGCCCTGTGGGGACTGTCCCCGTGGCCTCTGGCTCCCCGCTGAGCCTCCACCCACAGCTCAGAGCGCTGGACGCAGCAGGCCCCAGAGGCCGCCCTGTGCTCTGCCCCGTGGGAAACGACACATCTGGCCCCTGGAACCGGCCCCCAGGGAGGCCCACCCGGAGGCGCTTGCAGCCCCAGGCTCCCAGCCTCCCCCCAGGCAGCCCCACAGCTCTTTTCGGTCCCCGGGCCCAGGACAGCAGGCACCCACCCACCTCGGGTTTCCAGGACCTGCAAATCAGTGGAGTTCTTGGCCGGGGTCGGCGTGCTGGTGGCCACAGCTAGGGACACGTTTCTGTCCAGCAGCTGCTGCAGCTTTTGCAGGAGGGCCTCGCCCTGTGAGAGCAGGCCAGGATGAGGGAGAGATTAGCCCACCCACAAGGAGGGGCCCAGATCTCCCCCGAGGCGGCCCCAACTGCCCACGGCTCGGCCAGACAGACGGGCAGCCTGCTGGCCTTGCCGTGTGCCTGACCCAGGCACAGCCCCAGGCTCCGGGTCGGGGGCGAGGGCCGCGCACCGGCCGGGAAGACGAGTCGTTGACCCCGATGTCGGGCCCCGTGAGGGACCAGTAGAAGGAGGCCACGTGGACGCTCTCTCGGGCGGCGTCCAACAGCTGCATCCAGGCCTGGGCCAGGGGCTGGGCGGCCGGGCTGCCCGCCGCAGGCCACAGGTCCTGGGGGATGCTCTCCACGAGGACGAGCCTGCAGAGGCGGGGCCGGGGGTGAGCGCGGGAGCGGCCGGCCAGCCTCACGCCACCCGCGCAGTCCCGGTCAGCCAGCGGGAGGCAGAGCCCAGGCCAAGGGGGCCGGGCCGCAGGCTGGACGGAGCAGGGTGGGCCTGACACCAGGAGTGCCCCAGAGGGCCTGCCTGAGTGGGGGCTTGGTGCCCAGTCCCCACCCCCACCCAAGCCCGGCACGCTCCCTTCGGAGCTGCTGGGTCTGGGCTCCTGTGGGTGTGGAGGCCCTTGGAGTCATCAAGGCTGATCCAGAGGGAGGGGCTTGGTCAGGGGGTGTGCTGGGGGGTTCTGAGGCTCCAGACCCTGCAGGGGGCAGGAGGGGCTGGCCCTGTGACCCCACCCCGGGTGGGAGGGCTGCGATGACCACCTCGTCCAAGTCCCAGGTGACAGCCTGTGTTTGCTGCCAAGAGCATCCCCATCCCGCCCTTACCATCAGGGTCCCCCCTTCCCAGACCACTCCCCCTGCCTCCAGCCCACCCTCCCAGAACCTGCCTCTTCCCAGAGGAGGGGACCAAGAGCAGTGCTTGTCCCTCTGGGGAGACCCAGGCTGGGAAGGCAGGGGGCGCCCGGGGCAGAGCCTCACGGGCTTGCCCGGCTGCCGCCCCACGGAGTGCACGGCTTGCTCACCGGCAGGAGTCGTTCTGTTGATGCCGCCGCCAGGCCTCCCCTCCTGGAGGATCCCAGTCCACAGGGGAGCCAAGGCCCCCAGGCCTGGCAGGCCCTTCTTCAAGGCAGCTCCGGCTCCAGGCGGAAGGGGAGGACCCCAGCCCCAGGAGGCAGGTGAGGGTCACAGCACCCAGGCACAGCAGCACGAGCGTCCCCCACACCTGCAGCTGGAGGAAGACATCACCCGGGTCCCCGGGGGCCACACTCTCCTGAGCGGGTCCTGGCCACTCTAGTGCTGAGACAGACCTCCCCTGGCTGGCCAGGGCAGGCCTGAGGCCATGGCCTAGGGACTGGCTGCGTCCCCGGCTCCTCCAGACAGGCGCCAGCAGCCCATGGGCCGGGAGTCCTGGCCCCTCGTGGCTCCTTCTGCCCCTGCCGCTCTGGCCCGGGGGTCCTTTGCTGAGGCTCAGCCCCTCCCATGGGCCCCCAGCCTCGCAGTGCTGACTGCCCTGTCCCGCAGGCTGCGGGGCAGTGTGGAGCCATGCCACGCCGAGGCCGCCCGTGTGCTCAGCAGAGGCCTCAGCCCCTGCGGGGTGACTGGCATCACCTGCAGCTCTGGGCCTGGGCGCGGTGAACCCCACGCTCCCGGGCAGCTGGGCACCAGGGGGGCCACCTCGCGGGGACCCTGCAGACCTCATTCCTGGTGGGGCCTCACCCTGGCCTGGCCTGCCGCTGTTGAGTCCGTCACCCACCACTACTGCGTGTGCATGTACACATGTGTCCTGTGTGTGCCCGGGGCACGTATGACCTGCTGGTTCCCCTCTCGGCAACCCCCCAGGGCCGTGTGGGCGTCTGAATCTCAGTTCCTCGTTTCAACCACAGCGAGTCTGCCGCCATTTCTGCTTTCAGGCTGGGTCCTCTTGAGGGTGGTTCATAAATAGCTGCTTCCCTTCCCGGGCTGGGCCCCCCATCCTGGCCCTATGCGGGCCCCTCCTGGGAGCTGGGCAATGACCCTGGTCCTGGATGGGGGGCCTGGTACAGAGAGACTGTTGTTTTTCTGGGGGCCAGGGGCTAGGGGCTGATCTGGGCCCTGGGCTGAGGGCTGAGTCAGGACCCCTTGATGCTGGCGGGGGTCTCCCTCTGCCCCAGAACTCTGCAGCCAGCTGGGGATGGAGGTCTTGTCCCCTCAGAGCGATCACTCTCACGAGGAGCTGGAAGCCAGGTGGACTGGATCCTGGTTGGAGTTGGTCCCCAAAGCAGACTCAATTGCCACCCTGAACGGGACGCTCCCCAGCTCTGAGCTGAGGCTGCCTTCCCTGGAGTGCGGGGCGAGGTCCGTGCACAGTGACGTGGTCCTCCCAACCCCACTCCCCCACGCCCACCACCAGCCAACTTCTGAGGCTTCCGTGAGGGGCAGGTGCAGCCCTCCCTCCTGGCCTTGATGGCGAGTGGCCACCGCCGCCTGGGGCCTGGGGCTGGGGTCACACTGCCCACCTGTGAGCACAGCTCGGCTGGGCACAGGGGCCCAGGGAGCCAGGCTGTCCCCGGGCTCTGGGGGTGCCCTCCCGCAGGGCCCCCAGCCGGCCTCCATGGGGGAGGGGCAGCCTTGGGAGCTGGGCCTGGGGAGTGAGGGCGGCGGTCTGCCTTGAGCAGAACCATCACAGGGTGGTGGGGGCCCCGGAGTGAGAGAGGGGGCTCAGAACTCAGGGGCCCCTTCAGATGGGAGTCAGGGTCCTCACCTGCACCCTGAAGAGGGGAGCTTGGGGGCCTGCCACCCCCTTCCCTGCCCCAGTGTGGGCTCCCCAGACCCTTCCCTGACGCTCGGGAGAGGCGATCGGGGTGCAGTCCTGCACGGGGCCCAGGGCCGTGTGCCCTGCTACAGCGCCCGGGGGGCCCCAGGCTCAGAAGGTGGGCGTGCCCTGCCCCCGCAGCCCCATCCAAGGGGTGCCCAGCTGAGGCGCCTGCCAGGCCACCTACCCCCTTGGGAACTACAAGGGCTTGGGGAGGCTCGCCATTCAGGGGGTTCTGGGCAGCTCGACCCTGAGGACCCCGTGTGTCCAGGGGTAGCACTGGCTGTTGGGAGAGGGTGACCCACCAGCGCCGGCATCTTAAGGCTGTGTTGGGCTGGGAGACCCCCGGGGGGCAGCTCCCAGCTCCCCACGCCCTGTGCTGGGCAGGCTCACCCCAGGCTGAGCTCGCCGGGAGACCCCAGACCCTGGTGGGCCCAGCTGCAGAAACCAGCAGAGGGAGGGATGGTCCGCAGGCCCCGCGGGAGCTTCGTGGTGCTTTGGGCCCAGGCAGCTGGCAGCACCGGTCAGGAGGCAGTGGACAGAGCCCCCCTTCTCAGGGCCCTCGGTCTAGCCCTCCCATCTGGCCTCTCTGGCTCTTACCTCCGAGGGTCCCGCCTTGGCGTTCATCTTGGCTTCGCCACAGACGCAGGCCCTCAGCTTGCAGGCCATTACTGCGATCACCTCCCACCTGCCTCCGCTCTGCAGCTTGCTGCTTCCCCTTCTGGCCACTTCCTCTTCATCCTGCCTACCTCCCTCTGCACCCTTGACAGACATCTGGAGCCGGGTGAGCCAGCTAGAGGGTGGGGCTGAGAACTTTCACGGCCGGCCGGAGAAAATCCCTCCCCACCTCCCACCCCCAAGTCACAGGCCTGTGCATCCGAGTTAGGTTTGGTGCAAACCATGTGGCGCTAGTGTTTTGCCTGCTAATGCCAGAGGCTTAAGAGATGTGGGTTCGATCCCCGGGTTGGGAAGATCTCCTGGAGAAGGGAATGGCAACCCACTCCAGGATTCTTGCCTGGAGAATCCTATGGACAGAGGAGTCTGGCAGGCTACAGCCCATGGGTTGCACAAACTTGGACATGACTGAAGTGACTTGGCATGCACACATGCATCGAGACTCAAAGAACCAGGTCTTGAGCAACATTGTTTATTTCTCCATAGTACTGGCCGCCTAGGGATGGTATTGGCCTTGCAGCCACTGGGAACCAGGTCCCTGCAGCTCTCAGTTCCCAATCCCTAGGGTTAATGGGCAGCCTCATGGCCGCACAGTGACTGCCGGAGCTCAGGCATCGCCTCCTGTTCCTAGCAGAACAGGATGTAAGGGCAGACATCCTGGAAGACATCCTGGAAGTCTCACAGGGCACTTCCACTCATGTCTCATGATTCAGAACCTAGTCACATGGCTGCATCTAGCCACAAGGGAGTCTGGGAAATGGAGGCAGCTGGGACCTCCGTGCTGGAGAATGCAGGTTGGCCACTCCCTGGGCTGTCTGAAAAGGCAGGCTGGCTGTAGTTTGCTCGGCCTGGGTTCCCAGCACGGGTGTCTGCCTCCTTCGCCCCACCCCCTCTCCCGTCTGCCTGGGACTCTCTGAGGACAGGACCCTTTCCCACGCCTTCATTCAAAGTCCTCTTTGGACTGGGTCGGTGCCCAGGCCCTGCCTCTAAGACCCCAGCAGGACAGGGCTGCAAGGGCCCTGTCCAGGGTGCTGACCTTCGGGTGACTAGGGAGAGGGTATCGGTTCCTGGGCAGAGTCCTGGGGCTGGTGTGAGTGGGCTGAGAGGTGAAAGGGGAAGATGCCACTGGCTGCCCCCAGGCCCCTGAGCTTTCTTCCAGATACCCTGTCCCAGTTCAGCCTGGGGGTCTGCCCTCCTCTCCAGACCACAGCTGAAGTGGCCTCTGCTCCCGGGTAGGGTCACTGGACACCTAAGTCTACTGGCCCATTTCCTTCAGTAATATCTTCACTTTCCAAGACCATGCTGGGTATTTTCAGAAGTGTTTCCCACCGTGCTCTGTGGTTATTGCATCTGGAGACACAGTGGTATCGAGTGTGGCTGCAGCTTGCAGGCCCCTGAAGATGGAGCGTGCTTGCCAGTCACGGGGTCTCCTCCTCTGTGAAGCCCTGCTTGTATTTTTGCTGTTTTTAATGAAGATTTGTTGACGTTGTTGAAGGGCTTGCCGTATCTTCTGAGTCATCAGTCCTGTAAGTGTAGCAGCATCTTCTCTTCTCTGCTGCTTCATTAGACTTTTTCTCTGGAGAAAGTCTCAGACACTCACACTGGAGGGGCGAGCGTAACGAGCAGCCGTGATGTGCAGCTTAGACTCCACAACTGCCGACACACACCGCCTCTGTGTCAGGAGGGAATTTTCATTTTATTTGCTTATTTATTTTATTCTTTATTTGAGGCTGTGCTGGGTCTTTCTCCAGCTGCAGCAAGTGAGGCTGCTTTCTCGTTGCAGTGCGCGGCTTCTCATCGTGGTGGCCTCTCTTACTGTGGAGCAGGGCCTCTAAGGTGCATGGGCTTCGGTAGCTGCAGCGCCCGGGCTCTGGGGCACAGTCTCAGGAGTCGTGGCACCCGGGCTGAGCTGCTCCATGGCATGTGGGAGCCTCCCAGGGGCCAAACCCATGTCTTCTGCATTGGCAGGCGGATTCTCTACCACTGAGCCAGCAGGGAAGCCCCCAGGAAGGAATTTTAAATTAAAGAGGAATTATACAACACAGGGACTATAGCCAAATTTTTATAAACACAACAAGTGGAGTATAACCATTAAATGTTGTGAATCACTATATTGTTCACCTGCAACTTGTATAATGAAGTGAAAGTTGTTCAGTTGTGTCCGACTCTTTGTGACCTCATGGGCTATACAGTCCATGGAATTCTCCAGGCCAGAACACTGGAGTGGGTAGCCTTTCCCTTCTCCAGGGGATCTTCCCCACCCAGGGATCAAACCCAGGTCTCCCCCACATTGCAGGAGGATTCTTTACCAGCTGAGCCACAGGGGAAGCCTAAGAATAATGAATTCCCTTTTCCAGGGGATCTTCCTGACCCAGGAATTGAACTGGTGTCTCCCGCATTGCAGGCAGATTCTTTACCAACTGAGCTTTCAGGGAAGCCCATAACTTATATAATATTGTATTATAAATCAACTATACTTCAATAAAAGTAAATAAATGAACAGAGGACATGGGGAACACTTCACTTCTAAATACTTCAGTGTGCCTTTCTAAGTAAACAAATTTCCTACAGGATCACTCCTACAAAAATCAACAATTCCTTAATTTTATCAATTTCATGGCTCATTCTTGTCTTCATCCGTCCCGGCTGCTGTAACAGACTGAGGCGCTTGTGCAGTTCTGGGGGCTGAAAGTCCAGTGTCAAGACACTGGCTGATCTGGTGTCTGGTTCCGGCAGGTGCATGGTGGGTGTCTGGACTTCTCACTGCCTTCCTCCTTCCTGGTGGGAGGGGCCAGGGAGCTCCCTGGGTTTCTTCTTGAGGGCGGGGCACTAATCCCATTCCCAGGGGCTCCAGCCTCATAACATAATCACCTCTCCAAGACCCCACTTCCTAATAGCATCACATTGGGGGTTAGGTTTTAAAGACAGGAATTTGGGGGGACGCTAGACATCAGTCTATAGTGATGTTAAAACTTTCACCAACTTTCACTAATTGTCACCAAGTTGTCATTTATAGCTAACTTGTTATTGCATCCAGCTGAGGTCCCCACACTGAGTTTGGTTTTTATGTCCCTTAAATCACTTCCTCACCCTCACCCCACCTGAGACAACCTTTCCACCGCCTCCCCTTCCGCTCATGGAGTCTCTGTTCCTCTTGCCCGGGCTCCTGTACCAAGAAGTGAGTCGTAAAGCCTGGTTATGACAGGGATAGAATGAAGGGACAAAATGGGTGATTAAATAGTTACTCCCACTAGGGAAGTGTAAATAGGAAATTTGAGAGACCCCTGTAAGTTAATGATAACCGAGAAAGCAGGGTTGCTTAACCACAAAACCAAGCAGGCTGGCTTAGCAACAAAACCACTCAGCAGAAGCCCGGGGCAGGCCCTCACACAGTAAAACACGGTGGCCTGAGGCCCACATCCTGCCAGGGAGCTCAGTCAGTTAATGAGCCCTAGGACGTGCTCTTCCCACCCATGAAAACTGGTAATTTGTGGACCTAGCTTGACCATGTAGGGACAGGAAAACTCCCCTGCTCAACCTGGAGGCAGAACCAATAATGGAAGCATGACGTCTACTCAAAAAGACAAAGACGGTCTTCTCCCCTCCCCACTCTTCCTTTGATGATAAAACTGCAGCCCAGTAAGTGCTCGGGGCACGGCACTCCTCGCCCTCCTGCTCATCGGCCACACAAGCGTCCTATTCTTTAAGTCACTTCTCATCTACCACTTCCAGTCTCAGGCAGACGGAGCCCTGGCGAGGATGCCAGCGGGAGGTGCTGCGTGATGCCGTCCCCGAGCTTGGCGTCCCCTTGGGGTCCGGCCCCCACGCCGTCAGTGACACGAAGCCTGGTGGTTATCAGACTGGATCTCCTTCCTTGCCCTTGGTGAGCAGCCTGAGGGTAAGCACTTGGGTGCCCCACAATTCTCCATGCGCCAGCTTGTGTCAGACGGCTTCAGACCCTTTGTCTTCTGAGTTTATCATTCTATGTTATTCCTGACAGTCCTCTGTAAGGAAGTTCCTGTTGATTATTCCCAACTCATACGTGACATCACAAGGTCGTCTTTTTTTTCTTTTTTCTTGTATTATTTTCCCCCACTTTTGTTTGTTTAGTCTAAGGGGTTCTCAAGAATCTTCTCAAAAAAAAAAAAAAGAATCTTCTCCAATACCACAGTTCAAAGGCATCAGTTCTTCCGCACTCAGCCTTTTTTATTGTCCAGCTCTCACATCCTTACATGACTACTGGAAAAACCATAGCTATTTGCACTTTTGTCAGCAAAGTAATGTCTCTGTTTTTTAATACGTTGTCTAGGTTTGTCATGGATATTCTTCCAAGGAGTAAACATCTTTTAATTTTATGGCTGCAGTCACCTTTCAACTGAAGTGTGGTTGACTCGTAATGTTACATTAATTTTAGGTGTATGACATAGTGATTCAATAAGTCTACAGATTACACTCCATATAAAGTTATTATAATGTAACATAATTCTCTGTGCTGTACATAACATCCCTATAACTTATTCATTTTATTATATTTTTATTAGAAGTATTTATTTGGCTGTGCTGGGTCTTAGTTGTGGCACGTGAAGTTTTAGTTGCAGCGTAAAGGATCTAGGTCTCTGACCAGGGATTCAGCCTGGGCCCCCTGCATTGCGAGCACTGAGTCTTAACTACTGGACCACCAGGAAGTCTCATAACTTACTCATTTTATACCCAGCAGTTCACACCTATGCCCCCAGCTCCCTGGGGCAAGGAAAGCATGCCCCAGAGGGCACCATGAGGTACCCAGCCAGTCACAGGCAGGGAGTGAACTGTGAGGAAGAGCCGTGATTGCGGCTTCTGCAGGACAGAGGGGTGAGGCAGAGCAGACAGGTTCAGGCCAGTCGTGTCTGCAAGGGCCCAGCCCGGAAGTGGGTTCAGGTGAGTGAGATGAGTGTACACTTTGCAGCCGTGTG